CACTTCCAGCTCTCTTCCTCCCGGGCATTTCTCCCCTTTTTTGAAGTTAGGCAAAGCCATGTGATTTGTACGTGATTTGTTTTGGCCACTGAAAGGTGAGTGTAAGCGACGTGTGGGAAGCGATGTGTGGTCCACTTCTGATGGGGACTTTAAGAGCCATCTTGCTATTCCCCAAGTCTACTCCCCCGATTGTATGGACTCACATCAGGATTGCATGAGCAGAGCTGTCCAGCGACCCATGTCAGACATGTAGCATGAGTGAGAAATGAGCCGTTGATGCGTTAAAGCCACTGAGGTTTCGGGGCTGTTTGTTACTGCCGTGTAACGCAGCTCATCCTGACTGATCCCACTCTGTGCCCTGGAGCCTCTCTCTCCCAGCCCACTCAGTTCTCTTCCATCAGTTCCCGCCTCCCTGAAGCAGCAGCCCAGGGGAAAAGCCCAGCACTCGCTGGGCTCCCTTATCTTTCACTGGGCACCTTCCACGCACCAGGCCCTGCACCTGGCCCTCCCAGGACCCACCTTGGGTTTCCTCTGCCACCTCCTGGCTGTGACCACAGCAGTCACTGCCCCTCCATGTCCTCAGCTGGAGAACGAAGCTCCTAATGCCGCACCTCAGCATTCTTGTGAGGGCGGAAGAATGGAACGCGTGCCAGGTGCTAACACAGGCCTCAGCACTCGGGAGGGGCCCACAAGTATGATCATTAGCTCTGACCAGAGCTGTCATCTAGCCATGGGCTTGTCCAAATGCTGTTTACCACACGCTCCTGGCCTCTGGGGCAGGAAGACACACAAAGGGGTGATTATAGCCCAGCGGGGTCAGAGCCACAGTGGAGGGTGGGGCCAAAAGCGCGGGGACAGCGACACCCACTTCTGAGCTGCTAGCCTCACCCGCCTCTCCCAGGGGCTGCCCCGGGTGTGGGGGCCGTGCCTCCAGCATCATGGGGTCCCTGCCCTGAGGAGGCACCTATGCCATCTGCTGAGTCAGTGGGTGAGACGAGTTTCCGGCTGGGAGTTCCAGTACTGGCCAGGCCTGCCCAGCTCTGTGGTGTGACCCTGGGCTCCAGGGCATGTGAGGCGGGGACTGAGCACTTAGCAAGAGCTTGATGCATGTCAGCGCCCACGCAGAGCAGTTTGTAAAGCGTGTGAGCACTTGTTAAAGAAGAAAAAAGGACATATTCAGGGACTGTCTCCAGGAAGACACACGGGAGACTTTTCGCTCTAACCCAGGAATTCTCAACCCGGGAGCGATGCTGCTCCCTGGGGGACGCTCGGTGATGCCTGGAGACATTTGCGGGTATCACGACTGGAAGAGGGGTGCTACTGGCATGGAGTGGGTGGAGGCCAGGGAAGCTGCTCAACACCCTACATTGCACAGGGTGGCCCCAACACAGAGAAGGATCCCCCCACATGTCAGGAAGTAGTGAGGGGGAGAGACCTTGTGTTAATTATTTGGAAAAATATTGAATCACACTACACACCAGGATAAATTCCTGAAGCATTAGGCCATGTAAACCAGGGCGCTTCTCCAGCTTCCGTGATTTCCCCCTCTCTCCTCCCCGCTCAGTGTGTGGATTTAAACGTGGGCACCATCCTAGGACTTTGGATGATTATGGGACGCAGAGTTTCTTGTGGGGGGTGGTCAATGGAATCCCCTAATCCAGGGGCTCTCAGCCAGGGACATCGGCAATGTCGGGAGACATTTGTGGGTGTCATGACCGGGGGAGGGGGAGGTGCTACTGTCATGGAGTCGGTGGAGGCCAGGGAAGCTGCTCAGCACCATGCAGTGCACAGGATGCCCAGAGAATGATCTGAGGCTGAGGAACCCTGGGCTGGACCTGGTTGTGCTGTTTGTCTGTTTTTTCAGGCGGGCACTGTTCCCTCACCCCTGTAGTGGGGATCTTGGTGTTCTGCTCAGATTCCAGCCCGGCTCCCTCCCCCAGCTTCTGTGTGCTTCCCTTCTTGTGGCCAGCACTTGCCACTCTCTGGGGAGGGCTTCCCTTGGGTGCTGGGGGCCCAGGAGTTCACAGCCTGGGGGATCAGGCTGAAAGGGTACCCTTGCTTGGCACCGTTCCCTGCCCTGCTCTGCCCATCCTCTTCCTCTTCTCTTGGGAGCACCTCCTATTGCAATCACTTCCTACAAACCCTTTTCTCTGCTTCTGGGGGGCACCCTCTCCAAAACACCAGCCCACCCACACACCCAGTCAGTCACCAAGTCAGATACCTGCTTTGTATGAAATAGCTTCTCCCCAACCCACCCTGATGTGGGCTGTTCATTCATTCCACACAATTCTTCCACCACCTTCCATGACTCAGAACCCTCCTGGACTGGGAGGCACGGGGGAGAGCAGGCACTGTCCCCCCTGCTTCAGCCAAACCAACCGGCCTCCTCTCCCCCACGGTGGGTCCCACACTCCAGCTCTAATGCTTTCAGGCCATTGCGCCTGCAGGGCCTTTTGCTGGCCGCGTCCTGCTCCTGTGCATCAGGAAGGCCCTCTGGGGTCACCTCTCCTGCCCGTGGGAGCCTCTCCTCAGCACAGCCCCAGTGGCTCTGTTGGAACTATTCGGGTAGGGGCCTTAGGTGGCTGGAATGCTCTATGTCTTCACAGCCCAGACCCGTCAATATTCATTTTCTGGCTGAATGGACCGGGATGCTACGAGGCTGGTAAGGAGGGAGGGAGGAAGGGCTTTGCTTGGAGGACTTGCTGTGACCTTGGGAGAGGTCCTCTCTGGGGTCAATGGCTTTCAAAAGTAGGGTGCACTGCAAAGGGACACTCAGCAGCTACAAAAAGGCATCACAAAATGCGAAGCCGGCCAGAGCCACCGAGTGCCTCGTCTCGGCCGGAGACCTAAAACCTCTCCGCCCGAGTCGCATCCCGCGCTGCTCCGGACTACAATCCCCAGCATACCCCGCGCTCCGACGTCCACTCCGCTACCGGGGATCAGCGCAGAGCACGCTGGGAGTTGGAGTCCGGTCGCCGTCCCCACCCGCGTAGCCCCGGCCCAGCCCCGCACCTCTGGGAGTGGTGAGCCAGGCGAAGGTGCCACAACGCGCGGCCCAGGCGCTGCTGCTGCAGCAGGAGCTGGCCTGGGGGTTCCCCGGCGCCGCCGTTTGCGGGAGAGCGCAGGCCCATGTTCTCGAAGTAGTGCGCCAGGAAGGCGATGGGCTCCTCGGGCCGCGCCTCCAGCACCTTCAGCAGGGCCGCGCGCAGCATCTCCGTCACGCCGACCTGCCGCAGGAAGTCCTCCTCACTCTCGGCCCCTGCCGCTGTCCGGGACACCGTCGGCCGGCCGCTGTCCGTGAAACCGGCCACCGGGACCACAGCCGGCCGCCGCTTTTCCACTGCCATCTTCGGTGAGGGCAGCGGGACCGGAACCACCGCCATATTCCACAGTGCGCCAGAGACGCCATCTTGGTTGAGGGCAGAGGGCGCCGGCATCCCGTTTGGAGAGTCCAAAAGTCTCAAGGAGAGGCCACCCTTTTCCCTAGGTCCTAGTTGGCACTCTTCAGCGGGTTCCATCTTTACGTGTGCTGACTGGTTCTCCTGGTTAGGCCCGGAATCTTAACTTTGCCAGACTCTAAAATGGCTATCTAGAAGGGCTTGGTTTCTGGCATGAAGCCGGATAGCTAGCCATCTTGGTTATGGGCAGAGAGTTCTGCCGTAGCACAGTCTCCTAGCAACCAGGCTCCCTGGTTACCAGAGGGCTGCTTCCCAGCGTGGGCGGGGATGCATCCACCCCAGGCTGCAGGACCGAGCGCCGTCCCCGCCCCTAGACCCTTATCTGAATCTCGTTTCTGAGCTTTTGTGTTAAGTCAGTCTCAGCATTGCCTTCTCCTTCACCCAATCTGAATTTATAGCTCACCTCCTGGGGGAGGAGCCCTGGTGGCGCAGTGGTTAAGAGCTACCGATGCTAACCAAAATGTCGGCAGTTCGAATCCACCGGCCCCTTCTTGGAAACTCTATGGCGCAGTTCTACCGTCCTATAGGGTCGCTATGAGTTGGAATCAACTCGATGGCATTGGGTTTGGTTTTTGGGGTTTTCTCCCGGGGGGAGCCGCCCCCCCTTCTAGGTTGGGTTAGACAACTGCTCCGGGTTCCTGCATTAATGGTGGTTTTGGAGTAGCCCTCCCCGTCTGGACTGGGAGCCTTCCGGGGCAGCGCCTTCCCACCCAGTCTAGTAGCCTGCAGTGTTTGCAGAAAGAATGGGCGAACCTCTACAGCCCCCAGCTCCCATCCCGGGCTGTTTCCCTTCCTGGCCTCCAGACCAAGCAAACCCACTGCCCTTGAGTCGATTCTGACCCATAGCGACCCTACAGGACAGCGTAGAACTGCCCCATAGGGTTTCCAAGGCTGTAAATCTTACGGAAGCAGACTGCCGCATCTTTCTCCTGTGAAGCTGCTAGTGGGTTCAAAACGCCAACCTTTTGGTTAGCAGTCAAGCACTTTAACTGCTGCACCACCAGGGCTCCTTGCTGGCCTCCGGGGGAATCTTCCTAACACCAGATCCTCTACAGCTCTAGAGCCTCCCATAGCTCCCCAGTGCCCTCCCTCTGCTGACCTCATTTCCAGCCGCTCTCCTGCTTCTCCCACCACCTTGCCGTCCTCTTCCATGTCTTTGCCCATGCTGCCCCCCAAATGCCCTTCCCCATTTCTTTTCATCGTTCAAAGCAGAGGACACTTGTGTTCTCCCACCTGCCTCTCCGCCAGCCCTAGCAAAGGGGACTGGGGTGTCTTTGTCCACCCCCGTCTCTCTGGGGAATTGCCCGTGCGGGGGATAGTTAGAGCTGTGTGGAGTCAGCATCCTCAGACGACAGCAGGGACCACTGATGCTCAGACCAAATGCCCTTTATTCACCAGCTCTGGACCGTTGGGGGTGGGCTCCCATCAGGGTTCAGGGCCAGCTGTTGGCCTCATGCTGTTCAGAACCAGGCAAGTGTCTAGTAGTCACATCTGAGCTGAGGAAGAGGCAGGCCACATCTGGAGGGGCGACTGCCTGACTTGTCAGCGTAGGGAAGCTGGGGGTGCATGGTCCTCATCCCAGGGACCGGCAGTGCTTCCGCAGGCGGCAGGCGAGAAAAGCCAGGAGGAGCAGCCCCAGCACCACGGTCCCGGTCCACAGGGCTGCAGATCGCTGGACATCCCCAGGGCTGGGTGCTGGTAAAGAGCAAGGAGAAATGGGTCAGGGCTCTGACTGCTGCCTTGCACCCTGAGAACAGCATCTAGAAAGTGCTTCCTAGTTTACAGGTCCCTGACATGGACAAAACCCCTGGGTACTCAAAGGACTTGGCGATTTATTTTTTGAAACTTGCATAGGCCTCTCTAGTTCAGAACTATGCTGTTCAGCAAGGCAGTCACTGGCCGCGTGTGGCTTTTAAGCACCTGGAAAGTGGTGGTGTGAGTGACGAGCGCTGTCTGTGTAAGGTATCTGCTGCACTTTGAAGACTTATTTTGAAAAGAAAATATAAATATTTTGTTAATACTTTTTTGTATTAATGTGTACCACTACCCATTGCTGTCAAGTCTATTCCAGCTCGTAGCAACAGAGCAGAACCGCCCCACAGGGTTTCCAAGGAGCGGCTGGTGGACTCGAACTGCCGACCTTTCGGTTAGCAGCCAAACTCTTAACCACTGCGCCCCCCACCCACTGCCATCAAGTCGATTCCGACTCATAGCGACCCCATAGGGTTTCCGAGGCTGTAAATCTCTGTGGAAGCAGACTGCCATATCTTTCTCCCTAGGAGCCCTGGGTGGTTTCCAACCACTGACCTCTTGGTCAGCAGTCGATCGCTTTAACCACTGTGCCGCCAGGGCTCCATTAATGTTGAAAGGATAGTATTTTGGATAGATTGGGTCCGATAAAATACAGTATCAGAATTATCTACACCTGTTTCTCTTTACTTTGTTTTTTGAATGTGGCTATTAGAAAATGCAGAATTACCCTTGTGGTGACATCCTAATCTTTTATTTATTCCACAGGCTGTTCTAGACGCTAAGGTTTTGAGTATATGAAGTGCTTTGAAATCTACTGGTTCCCAGGAATTTACAAAGGACTTGACAGCTATCTGTCGATCACTCTCAGGCCACTGTCACCTTATGACACCTGGGAAGCCCACTGGATGACTGGGGAAACGGAGGCTGAGCAGGGCATTTTCTGTCTAAGGTCTTGATCCAAGGATCCCCCCAGCCCTTGCCTGTCCCCACCCCCCAGGCCCCAGAACTCACTGCTTCTCAGGTCCACATACAGGCTGGTCGCCTCGCCCCCCGGGTCCACACGACACTCGAACCAGCCCCTGGGGGCATGCTCAGCTTGCCGTACAGTCAGCCAAGCCTGCGCCCCCACCTCCCGCTGCTCGTAGGCTGCCAGACCACCAGGGGCCTGGGTCCAGTGCACGGCCACGCCTGGGGGGCCACAGGCCACTTTGCATAACAGCTCCCAAGTGGCCTCCCGCTCGGCCGTCGTGGAGGGCCAGAGGATCTCAGGGTGGCAGGGGACGGGGATGGAGCCCTGCTCTGGGGTGGTTGAGGTGGGGGGCTCAGGGGCAGTTGTGGTGGAGGGCTCCGGGGTGGTTGAGGTGGGGGGCTCAGGGGCAGTTGTGGTGGGGGGCTCTGGGGTGGTTGAGGTGGGAGGCTCAGGGGCAGTTGTGGGGGGCTCCAGGGTGGTTGATGCAGGGGGCTCCAGAGAGGTCGAGGTGGTGGGCTCCGGGATGGTTGGTGCGGGGGGCTCCAAAGAGGTCGAGGTGGGGGGCTCCAGGGTGGTTGATGTGGGGGGCTCCAGGGAGGCCGGGCTATGCAGGACTGGAAAACAGGGTAGCTGTGTCTTTCTCCCGGCTGCCCGGGCCTCAGTTTCTCCATTTGCATAGAAGGGTTGGACCAGAGCCCCTTTAAGCCCTTCCCCTCCGCTGCTTGGGTAAGTCACCAGGGCAAGTACCCCAGTGGTCAGGGGCGGGGTCCCCCCTCAGACCCCCCCTCAGACCCCCCTTGCTTGCAGCGGCACCGAGATCGAGTCCTGAATGTCCCTGGGCCTGTCTCCTCAACTGTGAAATGCTATGCTGCCCCCTCGGGCTGCCACTTGCCCAGAACATGGGGCGGGGCTCGCTTTTATTACTAAGGGAAGTGGAAGGGGAGCAAGGAGGGGCTCAGAGGCCCTCTGCCCCGCCCCTCGTTACAGAAGGGGACACCGAGGCCATGAGGGGCTCTATCTGTTCTAACATCTCTCAGACTGGCTGCCCCTCTGTGCCCCCTCACGACAACTCCCGTGGTAAACCCGCCCCTGTGTCCTAGCTTCTGTCTGATTTTCTTGGGAGGCCCCTCTCTCAAGACCCACCTGTGGCTCCTGGGATGCTGAGCACATTAGCATGAGGGGCTGTTTTCTGTAGTGAGAGAAGCTTCACACCTACTGTGTGCCAGGCCTGTGATACACGTTTCCGTTTATCCGTTAACTGGACAGGTGTTTATTGGGCACCTACTGTGTGGTGGGCCCTATTGCAGCTACTGGGGACACAGCTGAGACCATGACAGACACAAATTAGAACATGCAGGATGGCTGACACTAATAGAGGCATCAAGAAGTATAAATCAGGAGAAGGGAGTGTGTGTGTGCACTTCCTATTAAACAGGGAGTTCAGGGGAAGCTCACTGAGAGGTGCCATTTGGGAAAAGACCTAGGGAGATGAGGAGGGAGCCTTGGGGAGATCTGGGGAAGAGCACATGCAAAGGTCCTGAGGCCTGATCGGGCCTGGTGAGTTGGGGAACAGCAAGGAGGTCCATGTGGCTGGAGTGAGCGAGCCAAGGGGAGAGAGGAGGAGGGGAGGGCAGGGAGGGGACCGGGCAGGTTGCGCAGGGCCCTGTGGACTGGGGGGCTGGAGCCCAGGAGGGAGGCAGGCAGAGCAGGGACCGGCCGAAGCGGTGCACACGGGCGCTCTCTGGCGGCCACGGGGAGAACAGACTGTGGACAAGGGAAGAGCAGGGTGTGCTTTCACCGAGCCTGGGACTTGGTAGGTACCCAGTAAATACTATTCAAATGAGTGAATGAATGACGTGAGAAGTATCACCCTGGCTGCCCCGGGAGAACAGATTATAGATCGAGCTCACTCTCCGCAGTTGCTTCCCCCCTACAGGTCCTATGACCAGTCCACGTGGGGACGCTGAGACCCCCAGGTGGCCCAAGGTCACTCAGCAGGTTTGGGGCGGAGCCAGGGTTCCAGAAGAGTCTGGCTCTTCCTCCCGGCCACAGCGTGGCTGCGCCCTCTTCCCGGGCACCCCTAGACACACCTGGGATGGCCCGGCGGCGGCTCAGCTCTAATCCTGGCAGCCTCATCGTGGCCTGGCATTGTAGGTGGTGCAGGGCAAGGGCCCCCAGCGGCGGCAGCAGCCAGCGCTCCGTCACGTGGAACAGGGGATCCTCATCCTCCTGGGGCTCCACCTCCCAGCCCAAGGCCTGGGCCCCCTCCAGCTCCTGGTCCCCCAGGAGCAGGGAGAAGGACAGGGAGTCAGGGTCCAGCGGCGTGATGTTGTGGGCTGTGCAGACCACCGTCTGGTCCTGCCCAGGCACCAGGGCTGTTGGGGACACGCTCAGCTGGTCCGGGAAGGCTGTGTGTGGTGGAGGGGAAGCCGGATGGCAGGGGTCAGAGCCCAGAGGCCCAGGGGCTGCACCCGTGTGGCTAGACGAAGAGGTGGGGAAGGGCCCAGAGCAGGGGAAGGGCAGGGTCAGCTCCGGGTGGTTTGGGGTGGATTCAAGGCCAGGAGTGAAGGCTGAAGACCCAGCAGGGGTGGTGCAGAGATGAGGGAATGGGTTTCCAGAAAGGCAAGGCTTTAAACTGGGTGTGTGGGGAATCCAGGAAGGCTGCTGGGAGGAGGTGATCTAGGGCGCGACCTTGAACCCGGCAGCAGATGGGGGCTAACGGGCTGCTTGTGTAGATAGACCAAGCAGGGAAGGGCCTCACCGTACACCAGGAGCCGCACGGTGCGCTGGAAGGTGAGGTTCCCGCAGGAGCCCACGCACACGCGTGTTCCCGCCGCCGACAGCGAGGCGTTGACCACTCTGAGGACGCTGCTGCCCGCGGCCGATTGCACGGCGCCCAAGCTGGTGTCCAGGCCTCGCCACTGAACCGAGGCGGCCCAGCGGCTGGGGCAGGCCAGGTAGCAGCTGAGCTGCCGCGACTCGCCCACCGCCACGGCCACCTCGGGCTCCGGGGGATCCACCTTCAGGCCCCGCCCTGCGGGTCAGACAGCTGCCCTCAGCCCCGCCCGGACCTCTGCCCACTGTCCGCCTCGCTGGGGTTAGAAGGTGGCCCAAGCCCTCAACTTTCTTTCTGTCTCTGCCCCCTGCGAATTTCTCTCCTCTCGCAGCATGCCCTGCCACCCTACGACTGATACCCCCACTCTGAAACCCCTCCTTTCCGAGCCCTTCCCCTTTCTGAGCCCCCTCCTCCCTCTGAGCCCCCTTCTTTCCTTAGGCCCCTCCCCTCTTCAAGCCCTTCTACCTCGGAACCCCCTGCTTCACTGACCTCCTGCCCTCCTTGAGTCCCCTCCTCTTTCCTAAGCCCCCCACCTTTCCGGGCCCTTCCCTCTTTTCTAAACCCCTACCGTTGTCCGAGCCCCCTCCCCTATCCGAGACCCTCCCATATCCGGGCCCCCTCCCCTCCCCGAGCCCCCTCCTCTCCGAGCCCTCTGCCTCGCTCACCGCGGCCCTGCGGCAGGAGCCCCAGGCAGAGAAGCAGGAAAGCGAGGCTCCGCTCCATGCTCGGTGTCCTCCTCTGTCCCTTCGCCTGAGGGGGACGTGGCTTAAATAGTGGCTCCCCGGGCTTCTTCCCGCCGCCTCCTTCTCCCCGGGCTCCCCGGGGGTTTCCCGAGGGGCTTTCCCAGCCTGATCCCCGGCCCGGAGGCGACAGAGAGTCATGGGCTGGGGGCCAGAGGTGGGATGGGGACCCTGGGGCCAAGGTCAGGAGAACAGGTGGGGCGGGAGAGAGTCTGGGCCGACTCCAGGGCTCACTTATGGGGACCGGAGAAGGGTTACAGCCGAGGTCAATTGAATGGAAAAGATGTTGCGGCCCCGTCAGCTGGAGCCCTGCCTGCACTTCCTTGAGCGACCATGCGGGGGCGGTGGAGAGCTGCGGGCTGTAGGGCTCCTGGAGCTGAGGACATCCTGGGCTGGGGGCCTCCTGAGAATGGGAGGCTCCTGGGGGTGAGGATGTTCCGGGGTGGAGGTCCCCTGTGGATGGGTGGCTCCTGGGGCGAGGATGTTATGGTCAGTGTTCCTCCCTGGGGGCAAGGGTGTTCAGTGGGGTGAGGGTTTCCTGGGCATGGGGGATTTTCTTGGGGGTGAAGATGTCCTGGGGTGGGGGTATCCTGGGGACGAAGGTCTCCTGGGGGTGAAGATAGTCCTGGGGTGGGGGTCTCCTGGGGGGATGAGGGTCTCTTGGGGGACCTGAACCCTCCTGCAGCTAGTTGTCAGCGAATCCTTAGGGCTTCATCTTCCAAATATGCCTGAATACATTCACCATCTCCTCGGCTCCCCTCAGTCCTGCCGCACCTTTCCCTTCCTACCCCTGAAGATTTTAGAAACACCCATCTGGTCTCCCTAACACCCCCATGGCTCCCCGTGGCTCAAAATACAAAAATCCGACTCCTTGCTATGGCCGAGTGCTAGACGGCAGCCTCAGGGCCTTTGCACTGGCCGTTCTGGCCGCCTGCTCAGTCTCCCCAAATGTTGCCTCCTTGGGGAGTCTCCCCCACCTCCTCCCCACACCCCTTCCTCCTCTGCTTTTCTCTCTTCCGTTCACGTTCCTCCAAGCCGTTACTGCAAGCACATAGATGCCTGCAGTGATTGGTGACCCACTGGTGACTCCTGTCTCCCGGGTACATGCGGAGCCCTGGAACGTGGGGCCCCAGGCCCCGGTGCACGGCAGCACACAAGAAGGCAGACCTGAGGGGTCCCTGGGTGCGGACTGTCTGTGCCTCAGTTTCCCTGGCTGAAGAATAAGAGATGCAGGAGTCAGGTCTCTAAGCTCCCCCAGCGCTGGCAGTCTGTTCTCAGCCCTTTGTTTGTTAGAGGCAAAACTGAGGCCCAGAGGAGGGGCTGGGACGAGGGGGGAAACTGAGGCTCAAGAGGAGGGGCTGGGACCACAGAAGGGAAACTGAGGCTCAGAGAGCGGGGGCCCCCAAGTCTGAGGACCCCGGGCGAGACCCAGGTGTGCGAACTCACGACCCTGCGCCCTCTTCGGCCCCGCCCACTCCCGCCGGGTGCCGGGAAAGCCTCGCAGGAAGCGGTACCGAGGCGGCCCCTCCTCGGGCCGGAGACGCAGGCTATTCCCGGGAAGCTGGGCTTTTAACCCGGGCAGGGGGCAGCGGGCCTGAAGAATGGGCCGCTTCCCAGACTCTGACCCGGCTTCCTGCAGTCCTCGCCGCCCACCTGGCTCTGGACGCGGCAGGGAGGAGGGAGGCTGCTGGCCCGGGACCCCCCGCGGGGCGTGCCCGGCCCCTGTGGCCTCGGCCTCTGTGGCCCCGCCCATTGCCCGCCCCTCACCTGGTCGCCCGGCTCCTCCGCCTGAATGAGTAACGAACCCCCGCATCTCAGACACACGCGCCTCTAGGAGACCATGAAGCGGGGATCCTGACGATGGGGTGGGGGGTGGGGGGTCAGGGACGGCCACTCGAGGAAGGGACAGGTGAGCGGAGGGTTCCGGGCAGAGGGAACAGGGAAGGCCGGAGGTGGGAGGAGCTGGAGCCTGGGGGACGGGAGAGACACTGGACAGGCCTGGAGGGTTCTGGGGTGGACCCAGAGGGAGGCCCCCAGGAGGGGCAGGAGGAGCCCCAAGACCCCCGGGAGACCGCTCGGGAGTGAGACTGGGCTTCATTCCCCCAGCTTGCCCTGGGACACTGCCTCAGAAGAGCCCACCGGTGAGGAAGGCTGAAGAGGTCCTTACCCCCCTTCCTGCAGCCCCCACCCCGTCTCGCGGGGGCTTAGGTCCCCCCCTCCCGCTTCCCGGCACTGTCCCCGCCCCGGGAGGAAGTCCTCAGGGGCGCCTGCGGGCAGGAAGCCTCCTCTTCACCGAGGGTACCGGCCCCCCCACCTCCCATCCTCTCCCCACCCCACCAGCCCTGACCTCCTGGCCGCCTACCCGCAAAGGGCGCTAGGGAGGCACGTTCCCAGGCGCAGTGCTGCCTTAAGGGGCAAAGGGGCTGGAGGGGAGGTGCATGGGGCTCTCTGACCACACCCCCCACCCCACCCCCAGGGGAACACCCTCCCTATCCCAGCTGGCCAGCCTGCATCCAGCCCTGGGCCAGTTTGGGGTTCTCGGGGCACTTTTTCTGAAATTGCCCCCTTTGGGGTGGGCTGCTCCCCGTGGAGCTGAGAGGGCGAGTCGTGTGGGCCACCGCGGGATCCCCACTCCCACACAAGGTAGGCCACAGGAACCCAGGTCCTTCCCTGCTCAGCCACCACCCCCTCGCTGGCCTGGCCGTTCCCCCTCGCCCCCCTGGCTGCCCCCTGGCCTTCGCCTGGGCCTGGTTTGGAGGAAGAGATCCTCATTGCGAGGGGAAGGGAAGGGGTCGTTTAATAAATGAACAGTCACAGGGCGGGCATGGAGGAAGCCCCCAACATCACGGCCCCCACCCTGCAGCCCCTTGGCACCCCCTCACTGGTCTCTGAAACCAACGTGGCTGAGTGAGTCAGAGGGGACCCCAGGACCCCGAGACCATGGAGTTGCTGAGGGACACCTTGGTCCTGCCTGCAGGCGTCCGCCGTGGCCTCTCGGGCTGATTGGAGCCACGGGGGCCATCATGGGCCCCGGCCTCGACGGGCAGGGCCAGGCGGGCACAGGTGACGAGGGTGAGACACCCCCCCATCAGTCGTCCGTCCCTTGGATGCCCAGATGGACTGACATTGAAGATGCTGGAAGCATGTCAGGAGCTGACATTTGCTTGGCATCTGAAGACTCGCCAAGGTGAGGAGAAACTGGCCTGCACGTCCCACCACTTGAGAGGGGGATAAACTGCGAAAAAGAAGGGTAGGAGGAGACCCTGGCGGCTCTGGAGTTGGAGGGTCATGTGGCTGGGTCCCCAGCACACTCTGTGAGGTTTCCTTTAGAGATTGGAGTCCCAGGATCCTGACCTGTTCCCCGACCCCGCCACAACTTCCCCCGTTTGAGCTTTGTTGTAGGACCCTGAGTTCACACCCTAGTGGCCGTGGGGAGGGGGCCTCAGAGGGCCTGGGAATGTCCCGGAGCAGGAGGCAGCTCCTTGCCCTGACCTGCTGAGCCAGTAGGCGCAGCTTGGTGAGAGCTTCCTTTGGGGTGCCAGCTCCCAGAATCAGGGTGTGTGGGGTCACAAGTGGTTGGCACCCTAGGGTGGGCCTCAGTGTTCCCTGCCCCTGGCAGCCCCTCCTATGCTGCTAACCTCCCATTAGGAGTCCTGGCTGGAGGGCTGTCGGGGCCACCAGGGTGCAGGGCTGGGGAGCTGTGTTAGTGGATGAAGAGGACCACCAGCAGCAAGAGCAGCCCCCAGGAGGAGGGGCGGGCCGGGGACGGTGGTGCACTGCATGGAGGGTGGAGGAAGGGGGTGCCAGACACACTGTGGGGGATGGGTGGGGGGCAGGGAGGACAGCTGCATGCTGTGGGGAGCAGGGGTCAGACACCCCACGAGTCAATGGTGCAATGTGAGGGGGCAGTCAGAGACCCTGTGGGGATGAGGGGGAGGGGATGGGCAAGAATGATGGCACGCTGCATGGAGAAGGGGTGTCAAGCACCCACAGAGGACTGGCTGGGAGATGCCTGCTGTGGGGGGAGGGGGTGTCAGATACACCCGTGGGGATGGGTGGGGACAGTGGTGCGCCGTGGGGGGTCAGACACCTCCGTGTGGGTGTGCAGGGAGGATGCCCACTCCAGGGAGAGGTGAGGGGTGTCAGACATCCCTGTGTGGGCAGCTAGTATCTTGTTGGATGTGTTTCCATGCTGGTCCTGACGGCTTTGTCTAGAGGCTCCCCATGTCCCTCGGCTCCACATGGAACAGGTAGAAGACGAAGCCATAGAGGGTGGGGCCCAGCCTGCTGCACAGGCCACAGATACACGTGGGTACAGGAGGAAGGACCCTCGTGGCTTGGGCAGTGGCGAGGAGGGCTCCTAGTAGCCAGCTCTGTGGCCAGGCCCCTTGATGTGTCTGTTCCCCTGCGCCCCCACACCCACTGTGCCCACTGCCCGGTGTCCAGCCCAGGCCCCTTGATGTGTCTGAGTCCCCCCACCCCCACACTCATGGGGGTGCTGAAGAACAGTGGGGAGCAGGAAGGACTTGTGCCGCAACATGTCCAAGAGGGCCCCGACGAGGGGGGCACTGAGGAAGGACAGCAGCCTCTGCGGCAGAGTGGGTGGTCAGCCTGAGGCTGGGGACACCGTGCCAGGCAGTGGGTGAGAAGTGGATGGGCCAGTGTGGCCGAGGTCCCCAGGGGCCATGGGAGGTGCTGGTGGCCCTGACACAGATGACGAGGCTGATGTCACTGATGGAAGGATGGGGGGTCAGCTCACGGCCACCATCCAGTCTTGGCCCCGTGGTGACAGCAGTCACAGACTGCCGTGGGGCTGCAAGGCCTCACCACGGGCTCTGGGACACGTGTGGGCAACTGTGGACAGGGGTGCAGTGGCATGTGGTGCCAGGGCCAGCTGTCATGCCCTGGACGTGGCCATCCCACCATTTCTGGGTCAGGTAGCGTGCCCTCCCCCTCCCCTGCCCGCGCCGGCCTTACCTGGAC